AAAAAAAATAAAATAAAATAAAATACAGGACATAAGCAAAAAGGAAAAAAATGCACTTCTTCAGTTAGTCAGCAACTTAGTCATTTGAGTTTGAAGCTTTCAAATATTCTTTTAGAGGGGGAAAAAAAACCCCAAAATTAACAAAATACAAGCACCAGACAGAGGGATGCAAACTTTAGTGAACTCAAATAAAAATTACCCTAAATTGGATTTGTGGTTCCTTGCTGGCAAACATACAAAGAGTAAATTAACCAAACCAAATCTTTTACACCTGATCATTTCCATCAGTCCATGAGGACATGTTAACCTGAACAAATGCTGATTTAAACGTATAGCAAAGAAAGAAAATGAAAAAACAAATTCACTGAGTGTCTTCTTGTGAAGAGGAAGAATCCAAGTGTCTAAATTACTGCTTTGTGAGACTGGAAATCCTCTTTATCTCTACTTAATAGTCATTTGCTTTGCAACAAAAGAATTTCATTTGCTGAAGCCTAAAAAATACCATTATACTAAACTGTATGCCTCAAAGAGATTAATATACTCATTGTTTGTTGCAAATGCTTCACAGCTAAAGTAAAAATGATGAGAGTAGGAAAAAATTTACAACTTTTCTTTCTCTCTTCTGAAGTCTGGTCTGCAAATATTTGTGCACTGGAATCAAGTATGAAATTCTACAGTTTTAAAAACATGCACATTCTCTTATAAGCAGTAGTTTAATTAGGTTTTTCAAAATTAGAGTTATTAGAGTTATTTTACACTGAATTTTCATGTCCTCTTTAATCTGACTATTAAAGTACTCTTGCCATTGGATACAACTTAAAATAATAATAGATCTTTTTGGAAATGATTAGTCTTTTCTATGTTATTTTCTATACAGGGCCCCAGCATTTATAGTTTAGAGGCTGGAATGCTCTAATAGAGTGTGAACGAAATGCAGACTTTACCTCAGAGAAATAAAAGAGGGCTGACTCACAGAAGAGAATGTCAGCCAGGTAAACAGTTCCACTGGTCAGCACTTCAATCTGGTATTTACAGAAATGGTGACTTCGCAGAAACTCACTAAAGTGCCTGCACATGGATAAAAAGGGAAAATTTGAGGGAACGACCAAGGAAAGAGCTTAATTGGGAAAAATATACTCTTTCCATACTGTCCCTACTGTATCTTAAAGGCCTGTGTCAATGCTACCTCACTTCCCAGGGTGTCGTTCCTGATTCCTTTACCTGTAAGTAATCTCTCCCATCTCTTAATGACTTTGTAGCACTCCTCTGACATTTAACACATGCTACCTCATATTACAGTTACCAAAGAACATGCCCTATTTCTTTTATTAGGCTGTAACTTCCTTCAAGGCAGGCACTATACCTAACCGTGCCTTACACAGAGCAACCTTTTAATAAACACTAAATGAAAGAATGAACACAAAGATTTTTTTTAAGAATATGCAGCAGTAATTAATCTCAAAAACTCTGGAGGCAATTTCAGCAATCTACATTGATTTAGTTACATAGCATCCATTAAGCTTAAAGCATGAACTAACAAATTAGGATAACCCTCTGAAGACATCCATTATTTAAATGAATAAACCAATTCTAACAGTCACACTATAGTCTCAATCACTCCCAAATGACTTCAGAACTAAAAATAAGTTCTTTCAACTTAGGAAATACTATAGAGTTCACATAATTTATATTCGAAAGAAACTATTAACCAAGATAGTCTTAGAGTATGCTTATATGATCTTGTAAATATTCAAAATACTTAAATCCTCAAAGATATTTCATTTTTAGTTAAACAAATCCTCAAAGATACTTTGCTTTTTAGTGAAGCCCATCCCTAACACTGAACCCAAATTCTCAAGAATGCAAAATGTGAAAATATGAAACTAACTTACTCTTGCTCCATTGCACTAAAGACTACAGACTGTGCCAAAACGAAACAGTTGGGGTCCACCTGTCCATCTTCTCCACAAATCTTTGCTGTAAAACAAATAGTAAATAATTACATTTCCACTATATTCAAACTGTACACATTTGTAAAACTGGGAAATAATAGTAAGGGCATATAAATTAGGTTTTAAATAGAACTAAAAGGGGCCGGCCCGGTGGCGCACTGGATAGTGCGCCGCTTGGGAAGCGCAGCGGCGCT